ATAAAAGCCAATTCTGAATTTAAAAAATAGAAGAACAAAATAGGTTTCTCTGATCCTTTCATATAATTCAGTGTAGAGGAGTAGTTAATACCATGTCTTTCCTTCACTCTCTGGAATGCTTGCTGTAGTCTGGTAATTTACTACCATGGTTATTGAGCAAACAGTCTTGGCTTTCATTACAATAAAGGAAGAAAAATATTAGTTTAGAAAGAAACATATTTAGCCAGGCGTGGTGACTCATGCGTGTAATTCCAGTACTTTGGGACTCTGAAGTGGAAGGATCACTTAAACCCAGGAGTTGGCAATCAGCCTGGGCAACATGGTGAAGCCATCTTTACAAAATATACAAAAAATTAGCTGGGCATGGTGGTGAACACCTATAGCTCCAGCTACTCGGGAGGCTAACGTGGGAGGATTGCTTGAGCCCTGGAGGTTGAGGCTGCAGTGAGCTGTGATTGTGCCACTGTACTCCAGCCTGAGTGACAGAGTGAGACATTGTCTCAAAAAAAAAAAAAAAAATGGAAAGAAAAAAACTGATTTCGCTTCTGTGGTTGGATAAAAAGTCTACATGATGAGATAGCTAATGAGTCCATAAATGACCTCAGTGATAGTCTGCAAGTGAAAACTGAGTTAACTCTGTATGTTAATAGCAATGAAACAGTTTAAGACAGCTCAAGGAGCCATCTCCCCACTGGGGAACCTTAGGAAGTGCCAGGGAAAGAATCTCATATAAAGTAAATTCCAATGGTATTGATTGAAACCAAAGCAAAAGTAGTGCCCAGCTCAGTAAACTGACCCATATCGTACCAGTGTATAGTTCTAGGAATTCATTTACATAGAAGAGACAATACATTTTATTGTGTTTATTTTGCTATCTTTCTTGCAGATTACCTGGTTAATGTAGATTATCTTGGGCCCAGAAGCCACAGTAACTGATTACAACAGGAAAATTTCTTGTAGATATGGTAAATAGCTTATATATTTTTTTTATTGTTAACCTCAAATATTTTCATAAACATTTTCAAAGTCCCCCAGACTCTGTTCTGGATGGATATAGAAAGTTTTTTTGATAACTTTCTTGTAAGAAATGTCCACAGTGACAGAAATTCATCCCTACTGTTCAGTTCACCTGAGGCTGGTGGTTTACTACCTGATTTTCCAAATTCAGGTTTCCACATCAAAATAACTTGCTCCTTCTATCTCTGAGGTTGTTTGATAAGCAGAGCAGCGAGTGGTCTTCAATTGGTGGCTGCCCACATCCTGACCCTGATAATCTTTCTTGTTAGCAGACAGAGGTGCCTCTACTGACCTCTGCATGCATTGCAGACTGATGCTCTCTGAAATCCACCCTTGATGTCTGGTGATTTTTATATCATTGCAGGAAGTATGATGGGTGCTATGTGTATTTTGTGATAAGAACTACTTGTGAAGCCAGAGCCTCAGACACCAATCCACTGAGAAAGCTTGAAACTTCCATCAGGCATGTAATATGGTTATTTACCTGCCTTTTCCAGAGTATTGAATCTGGAACATGTATGTAGGGATTTCCTTACTAGTTTTAGTTTTAATAAGCACTTTTTTTTTTCTTTTTTAGAGGTAGGGTCTTACTTTGTCACCCAGACTAGAGTGCAGCAGTGGCTCACTGCAAGATTAGATTCCTGGACCTAAATGATCCTCCCACCTTAGCCTCCCAAGTAGCTAGGACTGCAGGCACATGTTACTGCACCTGGCTTTTTATTTATTTATTTATTTATTTATTTATAGAGACTTGATATGTTATCTAGACTGGTCTCTAACTCCTGGCCTCAAGCAATTCTTCAGCTTTGGCTTCCCAAAGTATTGGGATTACAGGTGTGAACAGTTGTGCCCAGCCTTAATTAGCACTTTGACCCTCTGGTAAAAGCATGAGAACCCCAGGAGAATTTCCTATTGAATTTCTAGAACATAAGTACCCTAATTATGGTGTTCTTTTCATCTAGTCTAATTTAACCCTGGGAACGTTGCCTGAGTATCACTAGCTATTCTTAAGGAAGCCTAACTTTCTAATACAGTGTATTCCAGGAGCCACCATCATAAGGATGTTAGAGAACCCCTTCAGTATCCTTGGCCTGCCATTCAGTCCTAATTTCAGGGGGAGGCTGGGGAGTGCTAGTCTGTCTGTAAACTCAAGGGTAGTTAGGGAACTCTTTAACCTTCACAGTAGACCCAGAGGATTGGTGTTTGGTTAAAAGGTTCTCTTTGGTTTTGTGTTAGCTATTAAAGAAAATTCCAGGGGGACAGCATTACTCTAGGTTACCTGAACATTTTTTTTTCTTTACAGAATTCCAGAGCATTCAGTTTGGCTCAGAATATTTGGAGTTTAATTGAAGCAAAAGCAGACGATACCTGGGGTAGCTGTGGGCTGGAATAGTTTTACCCTATCTCCACCTCTGTTATCCTGCAGTCTCCTGAAGATTCACTGAGATTCAGTTGTGGGTTACCCAAGGACTTATGTACTTCCCAAGGATGCTGAAAGATGCAGAGCCAGCTGTAGCAGTGCTTATCTTTAATTCTACTAGTTAAATTTTACTCACAGTGGCTCACGCCTGTAATCCCAGCACTTTGGGAGGCCAAGGTGGGCAGATCACCTGATGTCAGAAGTTCAAGACCAGCTTGTCCAACATTGTAAAACCCTGCCTTCATTAAAAATACAAAAACTTGCCGGGCATGGTGGCTCAAGCCTGTAATCCCAGCACTTTGGGAGGCCAAGGCGGGTGGATCACGAGGTCAAGAGATCAAGACCATCCTGGTCAACATGGTGAAACCCCGTCTCTACTAAAAATACAAAAAATTAGCTGGGAATGGTAGCACATGCCTGTAATTCCAGCTACTCGGGAGGCTGAGGCAGGAGAATTGCCTGAACCCAGGAGGCGGAGGTTGTGGTGAGCCAAGATCGCGCCATTGCACTCCAGCCTGGGTAGCAAGAGTGAAACTCCGTCTCAAAAAAAAAAAAAAATACAAAAATTTAGCCAGTATGGTGGCATGTGCCTGTAATCCCAGCTACTCGGGAGGCTGAGGCAGGAGAATCGCTTGAACCTGGGAGGCAGAGGTTACACCATTACGCTCCAGCATGGGTGTCAAGAGCAAAACTCTATCTCTAAAAAATAAAAAAAAATTTTACTCTACCCAGTTGAAGAGAATAAACAAGCCCACTATGCACCATTCGTGGGGTAAATATTCCCATTGCCTAAAATAAAACTTCACTCTTGCTTGATATGCTGACACTAGGAGGGATATGACAAGGCTCAGATACGGTGGTAGGGGATACTTCAAGAAAACATATTGGAAGAATGTCTTTTAAATTATATAATATAAAATAAAGTTTGTCAATTTTTTTCTGTTCTAATATTTATTGAGCTCAATCCCAATTTATCTTCAGAAGTCATCTCAGACATAGTAGTGGGTACCAGAGCATTCCCACCAACCAGGAATTCTATATATATATGGATGTATTTATCACCTCCCAAACCCACTGTACCTTGGAACCCAGCATAATAAACCAATCCCTATCATGCTGTCCTTGCAGATTGACTCCAGCCTTTAAACTGGCTGTACTTTGAGCCCTTACATTATTAAAACGGATCTACACAGAACTGGAAGGGTCTAAATTCAGGATAAAAAGTTGGCCATTGGTAAAGGAATATAGCAGTTTCCACATTTCACATTTGCATCTGTTATAATAAAATGGTTCTTTTTTGACACATCCCCTCTGACATTTTGCCATATTTATCTTTGGGTAGAGTCCTGTCTTTCTAGTATTCCTAGAATAATGTTCATTTTTGTCAGATAAGGGGTCCTGAATTCTACTACTTTTTCCCAAATTTCCCTGTATAGAGTATTGCAGGGTTTTCTAGGTGAGTTGTTTGTAAGCTCATTGATTCTTAACAGTTTTCAGAAAATGTGCTATAAAAATAATTTCTAACACAATCAACAGCAAGGCACAGAACCTCTTGGAAGCTGCCACCAACGCAACATCAACCCTGACCTCCAGCAGCTGAGATGCTGGGGACTGAATTTCTCTCAATAAGCTTGTCGCCCCTCAGCATCTGTTTCATTATAAGAATAAACATCTCTCAGGAATAGCAGAATGGGCAGGAAATGAATAATGGTACTCTTCTATAAAGTAGTCTACCCACAGAAGCATACAAAGTTACATCTGTACCAGCCTGTGTTAAGGGTAAGGTATGGAAGAGAACTACATAATCCCCTCCTATGTGGCATAGAAACCAACACAGGATTGTTTAGATATGAAGACCAATCTTAGGGTTTTCTTCTGCCCTGATGTTTCTGAAGCCTATGTTGTTAAAATTGGCTTTCTTAGTCTCTTTTTCACTATTGTTGTTATTGTCTCAAAACTGCTTTAGCACAAATAAATATAGAAGTTACAGTAAAATCTAGAAAACTAGCTGGTGTATTCTAATTTTTTTTTTTTTTTTTCAGACAGAGTCTCACCCTGTCGTCCAGCCTGGAGCTGAAGTACAATGGTGTGATCTCTGCTCACTACAACCTCCACCTCCCAGGGACAAGCGATTCTCCTGCCTCAGCCTTCAGAGTAGCTGGGATTAACAGATGTGCACCACCAAGACCAGCTAATTTTTTGTATCTTTAGTAGAGACAGGGTTTCACCATGTTTGCCAGGCTGGTCTCAAACTCCTGACCTCATGATCTGCCCACCTTGGCCTCCCAAAGTGCTGGGATTACAGACATGAGCCACCGCACCTGACTAATTTCTTAAACTGTAAGTAATTATTAGTAACAAAGAATTTATGGCATTCCAGAAGATGGAATCTCACAAATCCCAAACCAACTGTTCGGTTTCACAGACGAGATTGATGGCAACTGGAAAGTTAAATTTTAATTATAGCATGTAATTTTATTCCATATTTTAGCAAAGCTTCTACAAAAAGGCTAATTTGAATTTTAATTATTTTCCTTGTTTCAGCCCTGCTTAAAGTGATAATGATCGCTAAAATTTTCACAAGTAGAGGGTAAAGAGAGAAAAAACGAAGTTGCCACAGCCCTGATTGCCAGCCCTTTAGAACTGGTAATACATTCCTTTCCTAGTCAATCCATTCCATCCCAGAGAATTGGGGATTCTTTTGGCTCCAAAAGCATCACATGATAATTTTCAAATTTATAGTGTAAAAAAAGGTCAGTTTCTCTAGACTGCCAATAAAGGACAGAGTTGCTATTCTTATCTCTGATCGTTTCCCATCCCTTAATTTGTGTTTTTCTTAAGTATTTTGTATACAATTAAGATGATGGTGAGGCTTTTGGTGAGAAGAACAAAACTTTTCATTTATATTTTCTCTTTTTCAGATAAGAACAGAAATCATCACAACCTTGGTTCTCGGTAGATTTGTCAATCTGCATGCCATTGGGATCATGTTAGAAGACCTAGGTGAATACATGACCAAACTCCCTACTTCTCTTTTCTCCTTTTAAACCTCTATAGGAATACAGACAATTTTAGAAGTGAAAATATTTAGTTATGATCACACACCGGGGCCTGTCGGGGGGTGGGGAGCTAAGGGGGATTATGGAGATGAGGGGATAGGGGAGGGATAGCATTAGGAGAAATACCTAATGTAAATGATGGGGTGATGGATGCAGCAAACCACCATGACACGTGTATTTTTTTGTATTTTTTTTTGTTACCTATGTAACAAACCTGCATGTTCTGCACATGTACCCTAGAACTTAAAGTACAATTTAAAAAAAGAATATTTAGTTATGAAAAACGTGAAGACCTTCAGATGGAACTCTTAAAAACATTTTAAGTCCTTGATTATATCTACTGGATAACATTCATTTTTCCTTTTTTTTAGAATATACTTAACTATATTTAGTGGATTATGGGTGGAGAAGAAGGATATTTTCATATTTAACGCACAAAAGGCAAGATTGATAGCAAGACTGACAACACAGAACAAATGCCAATTTACAGGAGAGAAGGTAGAGATGTTAATAGTGGTAACTTAAGAATCCTTTGGAACTTTTTCATAACAGGCTGGTAATATATAGAACACATGACTACTTTAAGTTCCTTTCTCCAAATCTCTCTTCTTGCCTGTAGCCTCAAATGTGTTCCACCGGAAGAGTGACTTTTCCAAGACTGTCATGGGCGTCTTTCTCACTAAGGCTGTGTCTCTCTATGTTTGTGTGGCACATAGTTACTTCTTTGAGTGGTTAAAAAATAAAAAGAAAAGAAAAAAGACACATGCTACTTTAAAGAAGTCCCAGAAGGACTTAAACTCTAAATGCCCCCTGTGGCAGCAGCTTTCCTCATTACCATCATTCTATGTCCACAAAGGAGCTGAAGTCAACTCTGTTTTTTTATTCAGTACAATGTCCAGCAGCAACTATGACAACTGTGTGTGCTGCAAAGAATTTTTCCAGAGGTGGATGTCTCCAGGGCCACAGAGTTCCCTCTCAGCACTTTATGGAGGAAGTTATTCTCTACACTTGAAAGTAGAGAATAAAAGAAACATATGTGAAAGTATTTCGAAGTACATAAGTGGTATGTGTAAAGGGGAATGTCATGTTCAGCCTTGTGTTTTTCTTTCCTTCTTCCTACTGGAACCAGTTTGAGTCTTTGTTACCCAGTTAGTAGAAGTTGTGGATCTGAGTAGAAGCTTTCTTGTTTGTCAAAAGAGCATTACCCCTAGTGGTTGAAAGCTTGGCATTTCCAGGGAGGAAGAGGTGGCAGCAGCCCTTTTGCAACTTTTAAACAGCCATGAGAATTTTGGCCCTTTGTTTTTAAGCATTATATTAAGCAGCCTTCGACGTTTCCCTTTCAGCATTTTATTCAACGTTACTAACCCTTTTCCTTTTCTGGTCTCTGGGAAAACATAGACTACTATGCAAAAGCTCCTACCAAATACTGTGGCCTCTTTAATCACAGTTCCTGCCCACCACAAGCAGGTCAAGTCCCTGAGCTACAAACCTGAATTGATAGATTTTCTTTAGAAGCATAGATTGGGCATCCTTTGCTTGTCTCAAGCTTCTCTGCACTGCACCGTTTTGCTACAAACTGTGAGAATGACAATCTCTTGACCCTCAAGTACGTGGCTTTGAGCATTTACCTTTCCTAAGTGAAAAATGAACATCTGAAAAGAGATCACTTGGTTTAGAAATATATTAAAGGTGGGTTTCCCTGCAAGGAATGACTCCAAAACATGAGAGATGGCCCATCTGAATTAATCCTTAAGTGAAATAAAGACCTTGATAGACATTACCGTTGCTGGTATAGTTTGGACAAATCAATCTTGGGAATAGAAGAAACTACACGGAGCCTGGGCATGGTGGCTCAGGCCTGTAATCCCAGCACTTTGGGAGGCCAGAGTAGGTGGATCACTTGAGGCCAGGAGTTCAAGATCAGCCTGGCCAACATGGCAAAACCCCATCTCTAGTAAAAATACAAAAAATTAGCCAGGCCTGTTGGTGTGTGCCTGTAGTCCTGACTGCTCAGGAGACTGAGGCACAAGAATCGCTTGAACCCAGGAGGTGGAGGCTGCAGTGAGCCAGAATCATGCCACTGCACTCCAGCCTGGGGTGACACAGTGAAACTCTATCTCAAAAAACAAACAAAACAAAAGAAGAAACTAAATGGAGACTAGGAGTCTTTATTAGGAGAAAGGAAATTTAGTTTACCTGTAACTGGAAATTGTATGTATGGGCTAAAAGAGTGCCACCCAGGTACAGGAGAAACTTCAGAGCCTTGCTGACCTTTGGCCATACATACAAGCAGGTATTCTATCTTACAAGAGCACCTTTCAAATCCCAGGCACGTTTTAGTCATACAACTGCAAACTCAAAATTAATTTGCTTCTAGTCAGGTCCAGTGGTCAGGTGGTGGGTGAAGATTACAATTTTAAATAAATGGTTAGGGAAGGACTCACATTTAAGCTAAGACCTGAAGGAGGCAGGGAAACAACTCTTGGAGATAGCTGGGGACAAGGCTTCCAGAAGAAGAAAAGCAAGAGTGAAGGTCCAATGGTGAAAGTCTGTCTGGGGTGTTCTGGGGCCAGCAAGGAGGCCTGTGAGTCTGGCGTGAAGTGAGAAGGGAGGTGGAGGAGCTGGAGCTGGATGGCAGCAGGGCCCAGGTGGTGCAGAACTTCTTTAAGCACATTGGCTTCCCCTGAGTGAATTGGGAATGAGAGGAGTCATGACCTGACTTTTGTTTTAACAGGATCATTCTAGCCGCTGATGAGAGCAGACTAAAAGGGAACAATGGTAGAAGCAAGGAAATCAGGAGGAGGTATTTTCAGTAATCCAAGGGAGAGATGATAGTGGGTGGGACCAGGATGGGAGCCACTGAGGTGGCAAGAAATGGTTAGATTCTGAATATATTTCAAAGGTAGACGGATCTGCTGGTGGATTAGATATGAAGTGTGAGAAAAAGAGAGGAGTCATGGATGAGTCCAGGGTGGTCAGCCTGAGCTACTGGAGGGATGGAATTACCTTAACTAAACAGAGGAAGACTCACAGAGAGTCAGATGTTGGGAGAAAGAGCAGAAGTTCAATTTGGTATGTGCCTAGCAGAGACGTTGAATAGGCAGTTGAATACACGAGTGTAGACAAGTCAGGACTGGAGTTACGAGTTTGGGTTTCCATATACATGGAAATGAAAGCCACAAGACTGAATGAGATTCCCAAGAAAGAAAATAGAGTCTAAGAGAAAGAGCCAAAGACTGAGCATGCCAATGTGTAGTCAGTAGGAACCAGCAAAGGAGATGGGGAAATAGCAGCCGTTGCAGAAAGAGGAAAGCCAGGAGAGAGGGGTTTTATGAAAACCTGAGGAAGAAAATGTTTTACAGGGTAAAAAAGGAATCCACTGTTGAACATTGCTGATAAGTCAAGTAAGAATGAGGGATATTTGCCTGGGATTTTGCAATGTAGGGAACATTAGTAACTGTAACAGGGGCAGTTTATTTAGAAAGGTGGGGGTGGAAGCCTGAATGAATGGGCTCAGGAGAGAATGGGATGAGAGAACTGCAGACAAGGAGGATAGATGACTATTTTGAGGGCTTTTGCTGCAGAAAGGGCAAGAATAGAGCAGTAGCTAGAGGTGAAAGTGAGGTCAAGAGAGGGTTTTGTTTTTTTTTTTTCTTTTTAAAGTGGGTGAAATAATACCGCATTTGCACACTAATGGAAATGTCTAATAGAGATAAAAAATGAAGCAACAGAGAAGGGGAGAATAGCTGGAGAAACTCTTTTCTTAGCCTGTCTCACAGAACCGAAGACATTCTAACCTGTGCCAAAGTTTATTCTCATTCTATGCGCAATGAAATGCCAGCAATTCTGGTTCTGCAAATAGTTTCTGCGGGGGCAAAAGTGGAGAGTTCCCGAGGCCCTTTGGAAAGCCACATCCCTGTGTCCTGGAGTGCGAGGGCAGGATGTGTGGACAAAGTGCTAACCCAAGTGTCTCAGCTTTGACTCGAAGATAAATTCTTCTGGGCATTTGCATAAATCCCACCCAAGCAAACTTTCTGTACAATATAGCTTATAATAAGACCTTGCTAAAACAGATTTTATCATTTGTGATTATTAGAAGAGACAAAATCAAAGTTTCCCCTTTTACCTCAGAGACAATTGTTTCCATAGAAAATTAAGGCTGTTTACAAAATTATATGGGAAATTTTACTTAGATTTGTAAAAGGCTTCAGACATTATCTTTAGTGTGACTGCAAATAATAAATTCCAACTTAAGGAGATACCTGTGGTAATCCTGTGCTTTCTGATACCAAAGCAAATTTTTTTCCTCCATTTTACGGAGGTTCTCTAGTAGGCAATGCTGTCTTAGCCTATTTTGAGTTATTATATTGTAGTACTAGAAAACAAACTGCCTTTTCTGTAAGAATATCCTATCAATCTGATTTTTAAATGAGAAAAAATTCTCTCCCTAGGTATGGTTTGGAGAAACTTTAATGGTTCATACCTTCCTAAGCACTCCTTAAAAAAAGAAAACCAATTCAACGAGTACTTTCAATATTTTCCACCAAATTACCCCTAATAGCAGAGGACAGCAGATACATACTCTGGAGAGTTATGAGGTGTGGCCAAAGTGGCCAAGGAAATCACAAAATTTCTTTGAAGTCTCCTTTTTAAATGTTAAAATTCATATGAATTTTTCATTTTATACTAATGCAATGTGTAAAAGACACATATGAAAATATGTTTTAAATTATTTGGAGGGAGAAGCATTCTACTTGTCTTACTAGTTCAATGAAGAAGCTGCTTTTCACTGATTCTGTCCATGTCAGAAAACTGGGCTGAACTGAAGGCAGCTAACACCAGATTCATCATTTAGGCAATTTCTCTTCTCTGTCTTGGAGAAGTTTTGAACTCAGTTACTCTAAAACCCAGATCTACAAAAACAAACTGATAAAATTGCAACAA